ACTTCTTGTATCACAAACCCCACTCCGAGAGCAAATCAACCAAGCTTAGCCCCTTTGCGATCTCGACTCTGTTGAACTGGACATGATTGCAAAGTATCAAGGGAGACTCACCGTAAACCCCCCTCTAGTTCCCAGGCTGAGCCCGGACCTTGGCAAGATGAATTTCCCAAGGACTTGGTCGGGGCTCAACCCTGCGGTCAGAAAAGGACAAGTGCGCAAGACATTTCGTTGAACGTAGAACCTTGTGCCCCCATTTACAAGAAATACTAACATTTTGCAGGGGGGGGGGTCCGCAGGGTACGCGACATCAAAAATTGCAACAACATTGATACTAAGTCAAACCTGTTTAGAATTTGGGATATCAGGGTAATTCTCTATATCATGCATCCTTACTGTTAAAATTTCTCCCGTGATATCTACTTCCATAAACATATGAAACAAAATTATTTGTGATGAGTTCGTCAATTCTCTTCACTTGAACTCCAGACAAAATATGAACACAGTGAGGAAAATACAGGCGTTAATAACTTCTAAGAGTAAAGGTTATGTGTCAAGCGTTGTGGACAAGTGAACCATTATCCATCAGAGCTCAACTCAACTGAGTGTCATGCTCAATTCAATTGAGTGTCGTGAAACCTAAACGAAATTTATATCACAACCGCCTATCACTAAGAGCTTATTAAAGTTAGAACAAGCAAACTGCTAATAACCCGGAGAAACGCGAGCGACAAAGTCGCGATTGGTCTTATTTTGTACATGGTCGGTTGAATTAGGGTGGCACTAGTTTTCTGAAACAATTAAAACGAAAAGTAAAACAAAACCACACTAATCTTGGATTACTTTTCACACTCAAACGAAAACTGTTTGACCTTTTAATGTCGTTACCTTCCTGAAGTCGATGCCCCACAAATTCGAATGTATCATAGCGGCTCATTTCCTTGACAAGGGCTTCAAAACACTCATCTTGGGTCTCGATTTTCAATCCTGCAAGAGCCTCATAGAAG